AGCCGGCATCTGCTTTACCAGAAAATGTCATTGAAATAGGCCTTTTGGCCCTGTTTGGACAAGTATGTCTGTGGTGGGTTGACCTTGGCTGGACACCAGGTGCCCACCAAAGCCACTCCATCACTCCTCTCCTCAGTGGGACACGGGATAGAAAATATAACAAATGGCTTGTGGGTCAAGATAAGGGCAGGGATCACTCACCAATTACTGTCACAGGAAAAACAGACTCGACTTGGGGAAATCAATTTAATTTATTACCAATCAAATCAGAGTAGGAATAACGAGAAGTAAAACCAAATCTTAAAAGCAGCTTTCCACCCACCTCTTTACTTCCTGGGCTTAACTTTATTCCTGATTTTCTACCTCCCCTCTGCAGTGGTGCAGGGAGACAGGGAATGGGGGTCAGTTCATCACACGTTGTAGCTGCCAATCCTTCCTTCTCAGGGGGAGGACCCCTCACACTCTTCACCTGCTTCAGCAGTGGGGTCTCTCCCACAGGAGACAGTCCTCCATGAACTTCTTCAATGTGAGTCCTTCCCACGAAGTGCAATTCTTCATGAACCACTCTGGCATGGGTCCCTTTCCATGGATTGCAGTCCTTTGGGAACAGGCTGCTCCAGTGTGGGTCCCCCACAGAGTCACAAGTCCTGTCAGCAGACCTACTCCAGCGTGGGTTCCTCTTCTCCACGGGGTCACAGGTCCTGCCTCCCTAAACCGTCATCTGCTTTTCCAGAAAATGTAATTGGCCCTTTTGTAATCAGTCCTTTTGGCCCTGATTGGATAAGTTTGTCTTTGCTGGTTTAATAGACATTTTGTATTGTTCACTGGTTGAAATTGGCTTGAGAGAGGAATGCTGGGACTGCTGGTGCAATGGGGCAAGAGGAAGCTGCAGCTAGGCAAGAGGTCTGAGGCCACAATTAGTGCTAGTAAATAAATCCCTGCTCTGATAGCTCATTTGGCACTACAGGACCTGGATCCTTATGAAACTCCTCACTTTTAGGGTATTTCAGCACATCAAGGGGTGTCCCTGCCAGTGTGTGTGTCACAGTTACCTGCACTCAGTAGGTGTCTTCAATGGAAATGCATCCTTCTTCTGGGGTAATGTGGGAGGTGGATGTTGCTTTGGCAGGGAGGTGGTTTTAGGAGACTTGGGAGAAACTTGCCTATAATTTATTTATGAATAATAATAATGATAACAACAACAACAGTAATATAAAAATTAACATAAAGATGATCATACTTGATTGCACCAGAAGTCTATTTAGCCCAGTACCCTCAGTTGAGCTACCAGCAGTTTCCTAGGGGAGGAATGTAAGGAATTGAACAAATATGCAGTATTTTCTTGTTGGTTTTGTACATCTGGTACATTATGATTTGAGTGGCCTCTGGTTTATTTTTTTCTATCCTATGATGAATAGCAAACATTTGTTCTCTGTTAATTTTCTCGTTAATGATTTCATACCTGGCTGTCACATTTGTCCTCCATCACAGTAATTTAAGGCTGAAGAGTCCAGATGTGTTTAATCTCTTAGGAGATGCTATTCCATAGCTCTGGCCATTCTTTTTTTGTGCTTCTTCATGTTCAGCTTTCTCCTTTTTGAAATGGAATGACCAGAACTGGGGAAGTAGAGTGTACAGGTGGGAGTCTGGAAGGAGAACTGCATGCACTATACCTTTAGCATGCACCATACCTTTAGCATGCACCATTATGGAAAAACATACAAAATATATGTCTGAGCAAGGGGGTAGAAGTTCAGTGGAAGATGAAAACATGGACTGTTAGACTGATCAAGGCATAACTGGCTACAAGATACAGAGCTAAAGGATGTCAAATTTAAAAATTCCTCAATAATCTTAATTCTGGTATTTTTTAAAGTTTGAATATTTGGCAATGCTACTTAAACTTCATTTTAATATAAGCATTCCTAGACATAACTATGGCATTTATTATAAAATACATAAAGGACATGTTTATGTCTCACAGAGCAGGTTGTTATAAGCTGTTGTCATAAAAGCTTACTGGAGTAATTTTTCATATTTCCAATTACTACATTTAAAAGAATATCACCATAGCTTTTAATTATAAACCAATTATTGAGCATAAACACTACAAAGGAGTGTGAGAACTGGTGAAATTGTTGTCATTAAACATTCTTCATGAAGCCAAATTGGAAAATATCTTTAAATGTTTCAAACATCTTTTCTACATTCTAGACCATAGGTGAGAGAGATGCAAAATATTTATGTGATGGTTTTAGGAATGCATGCTTACTAGTGCCTCTAAATTTAAGAAATTGCTAGTACTTCATAGAAGTAATGATTTTTCTGCTATACTAGATAGGGGGAATTTCAGGATATATCTCCACACTCAGTATAATTGCTGTTCCCTTGTCCATAGTGCTCTTTAGGGAAGAATGATCTTACATCTCTTGGCTCATGCCCAGGGAGGTGCCTGATCCCAGAAGTGGAATTGCCCCAGTGCCCCCCAGATGCCCTGCTCCTGGATGGGCCCTGGCTGCCTGGCTCACATGCAGAACCCCCACCACTACCATCCCCGGCCCTGGGGAGCCCCTAGCCCTCACTGCATCACGACATACTCATTGCTTATTTGTTTGCCATTTACATCTGCAGTCTTGGCTAAATAGTTGTAAAATTTTCTACACTCCTCACTCTATTATATCATGGATATACAGCTTGATAAAATGTTACAACAATGAAATGATACAAATAGACTTTTAAAAAATGTGTTCCTTCAGACAGGAGACATCCAAAAGTCTATTTAACATAGTAAATGCACAATTTTGCGTTAATTTTTATCATAGTACAGTTACAGACAATGAACAACAGTTTATTGTCTAATTATTCCTAGGTTCATACTGCAGGGCTGTATCACAATAATGGGATTATTAATAACCGATTATCTTGTATCAGAAGGTGGCAGCACAGCACAATTCTTAACCACTGTTGTAGACGTATGAATATTATTGCCTGAAATATCAGATACCCATGAAGAACATGGAAAATTACACTGGCTTGACAGGCTAACATTGGCATTGCATGACTCCTAATGCAAATTCAAATTAGTAAGAAATTAAGAATGAGGAAGATAATATTGTTTTATGCTGCTTACAACATACTGTTGGTCAAGGACTTTTGTGATTTTGCAAATCTTGCCATTGAAAGTGTTATATGTAGGGCAAAAACAATGACCCAAAATTTTATTGTGTCTGTTACAAAACTTGTATGATCATGAATTTGACTTTAGATGTTGTTTTTGTATTCTAGAAACTAAACAGGAATCGCAGCTTCTGAACTAAGTGAGAGGAAGTGACTGGGAGCAAAATACAGTTTCCTATCAGGGTTCTTTAAACTCTGTGTTATTACCAAATGGAACCTGACTTTTTTCACCACAGTCACTTCAGACAACATCCTCATGTTGGCACGCATGCAGACTGCCAGATACAGCACCAGGAATGCCAGATTTTGCAGGCTCTTCTAGGGCCTGGCTTACCTTACTCACATCACAGTTTTGCTGGCTGCGAGTGAGGTGAGGCAGGAGGGTGATGGCAGCTTTACCATCTCTGGCATCTGTGAGAGTAGAAATAGTGTGGGACAGGAATGAGGCAGGATTTGTGTTGGGTGTTCCTCTAGGGGAGGCAGGGAATACTTAGAAATATCTTTTAGGTGGAAAAGGTGAGGGAGTGCAGGAGTGAGAACAACAGATGCAGTATATACATACTAGAAATAGGATGGATGGACAAGGATTATACCTAAATGACTGACCTCCCTGACACATATGGCCATTTGCATCCACAGAGGCAGTTTCACTGAGTCATTTGAGTAGATGGTCTCATTTCATAACAACTGGATGTGTGGGATTGGGTTTTGTTTTGTAACTAGTTTTGTCCAGCCTTTTCCTGTCTTTTGTCTATTGTAGTGCTTCTCACATGTTTTCAATCAGAATGGGAACTCCTTGGGACCTGTCTGAGGAGGTCAAAGACTTACAATTTTGCATGTGCTTGGTGTGCAACATTCAGGGCCTTACTGTTATAAGATTTTACAAAGGTCACTGCTCCTTGTATCTACCATTTTTATTAGGCAATCTGATTTTTCCACCAAATGGATTAGGATTCACCAATGGTCAACATGAAGAAACCACAGAGATCTGGATTATGGGAACCACCAGCACTGTGAATAGATATTCAAATGTACCTAAATTTCTGTGTTGTTGAATTGGAATGTAAATCACAAGCAATAGTGATGCTTCTGTTATTCTGTTTTTAATCGTACTGTGAATCTCACTAAAGCTTTTTTACAACTTTACAGTACTTTTGTTTCTAATCTGTGATGTTTTTCATCTTAAATTATTTTGAGGCATTGCCAGTTTGTTCAGAATTTTTTTAGAGCCTCAGAACAGCTGCACCAGGTTCAGCAGTAGATGCAAGCTATGAATATATTTGCAGCATAAACAGAGTGGGGATAAGCCACTTTGTTGTTCTGTTTGACTGTTTCAGAGCACAGTAGGGACATAGCAGGGCTGTCTCCTTCCTGACTTTTTGTAATTGTTCTTTAATGCAGTTAGAATTTGTATCTTTATAACATTTAATGTACACATGTATTTTATTTGTTATCTTTCATCTCAGCATGTTTCCAAGTGATTTGTTAACTATATAGATGTAGACTTTACTGAAATAAAGCTTAACAATTAGAGAACAGTAGTTGAAAATTAACTTTCACAGTACACTGCAACACAATGGTAAAGAATTTTTTGGGAAAGTCACAAGAACAATTGCACTCTTTCAAAGAGCTCCAGAGTATTTAATGTCTGTAAAAATAGACATTGGTTACTGAAACATCATCTTGAAAGTCCACATGCATATGCTTGTGCATACTTTTGGGCTTGTACGTGCATATTCCTACATGCAAACTCTTAACTGGATTGTCCACAGACACTCTTGTATTGCAGACCTATTGACAAAGATGTTCTTTCTTTCTTTCAGAGATATTGGTTGCATTGTCAGGTCACTGGGTTGCTTCCCAAGTGAGGCAGAACTACGTGAACTGCTTGCAAAGGTAAATGGTTAGATCTTTTGTATTTTTTTCAGTCTTAAACTTGCACAAGTTTGGCCCTTCTGCCTTGCTGAGTGGGAAACTCAAGTTCTTTTCCCAGATGTTGGAAGTGTCATGGAAGTGTTTCAATCTCAGGTTGCCCTGAAGCAAACCTTTAGGTTGATGAAGTAACAATGCCGATGGGTTAAAATGAGGAGTCTTTGACTCTCTATTACCCCAGAGGATCACTGTGACACTGCGCTAAGGTGGAGGAGCATTTATAGAAAATGGACAAAAATTGGTTTTGACTGATGAAAAAGAATGTCCTAAACCTCAGTCAGATTAGGATCTCTAAACACTAACCATCTCACTCTTCAGGACATGCAGTGGACACACGGTGCATGATTAGGTAATAAAAATTAGTTCTTGAGAAGACGTTAAATTACAAAAATACACAGAGGGAAGGTGGGCCATTTTTTTTCACTGGGTTATTGCTGTCTTATAGCCAGACCTTTCTTCTTTCTGTCCTTCATGAGGTGTCTCCCAGTCTTGAGATTTCTCAGTTATAAGTAAGTAACCTTGATTACTTAAGCCTGTAAATCAGGCTTCAGGACATCAAACTCCACAAGACCTAGTGGTCCTCCCATTCTCTCACTGATATGCAGTGGTAAGGAAATTCAATGACATTTCTCCACAATCCTTTCCTATACTAATTTTTGTCTCCTTACCGCATGCTTGTAATAGAAAGGATGATGTGCTGGTGCATTGGCAGGATATGGCTAATAGATGGGATGAAAAAGCTGGAAAAAGTCTCCACATTCTTTTTGTAAATGGGCATGCTGCCTTAAGGAGTGGATGATGCTGGAGCTGAGAGGTGGGGTAAGGATTTTTCTCCTTTTCATGTGTAGCTCAGTATACTGAGAATTGATCTCTCTTACTGTTTTCTTCCTGCACCAACAAAAATTTGGATGGTTGCAGTAGTAGTCTCTCCTCAGTAGGCTTGTCTGGTCTCCTGTAGATCAGAATTTAGTGTGACAAATCTTGTGCTAAGTCTTGTGAAAATGACACAGCTGCTTCAGATGAGGAAGTGCAAAGAACCATCAGAGGAGAAAGCTCTTTTAACATGATACTGCAGTCTGTCTGCTCTGGATCTGTACTCTCAGTACCAGATAGTCCCAGTTCCCACTGACAAACAAGGCAAAGTAGAAATTATTGTGCTTTATATAGATTATATTTTTAGTGCCCCACAGTAACTTTTCTTTACAGCAAACAAACAGTACAACTGACTCAAGATATAGAATTGTGAAAAGGAAGGGGATACTTTGGCAACCCACTTCAATTTCAGGAGAATCGGGAGAGTTTAAGGCCTTCCAAAGAGATTGGACATTGGTTTTTACCCATTTTGAACAGTACTGAAATTTGAGATAAGTAATACATAACAAGGTACAATGCAATGCAGCCACAAGGCAGATGATTCTTGAGATATAACACTGTAACCTGTATGCAAATGTTGATTATAAGGATATTAAAGTACAAATACTGCAAAAATAAAGAGTATATTCAAGAGTAATGGTTAACCTTAAAGAACACTGAACTGGAAATCAAATAGCAAAGAACAGTGCCTGTAAGTGACATCTTGGCATAGGTTTAGTACTAGAAGAACACTGTCTTCTTGTAGAACCCTTCATATATTATGATAATCACAAATACCTCTTAGTTTATATAAGATACCATTATAATTGACTATGGTAATACCATTTCATCTTAATCTAGATAAAGTAAAAATTGTGTCTGTTAGCTGGTTTGTAACTAAGCTATTTCCCCAGTATTGTTGCCCATTGTAAATGGTGATTTGTTTCTCTTTCTCACTACTTGTGCCTCTCAGTCATCTGATCTTCCTATTAGCCTTATTGTAGTTAAACTAGTGTATGCTGCCATCAAATTATTCATATCTGTAAAATCATCATTCATATAATTATGTTATCTCTATAAATTATCATTACTGTCTCCTATATTGCCTTATACTCAGTGTTATACTTAATATCATATCTTTAGGGCTACTTACAAATTTAAGATTAAATGATAAGCCTAGAGATGGTGAAAGCTAATCTAAGGATCATTTCAATGTCTGGAGTTCGGTACACTGCTCTGCCTGTTTCTTTGTGACTCAAGTCCCCCAGTGTTGTGTGGACAGAAATAGTATGGGTGTGAGAGTAGAGATACAAAACGTAATGGGTGCTACAATACAATTGTTATGGGAGCTATGGATGAACCCAAAGGAAAGAAATAGAGCAAAACTCACAGTGAACATGCAAATACTGTTATTGTGAAAAAAGGAGAAATTACAGAAAAAAGGAAAACAATAATGAGGAATGAGGTATAGAACAGGAATGAGCATGAGAAAGAGTAAGAGGATACATATACTTGCAAATCCCAATACTTAATGATTTAGGCAAAGTTAATATATTCAATTTATCCACGTATCAATCCATTGTTAGAAATAAGATTAATTTTAACTGTTCAGGATGTTTCTGGGCCTGTAGAGCCTCTGAAAGGGAAGCTGTTTCTTTCATCCTCAGAGGAAACTGAGGTTGCAGATCACCTCCCAGGACTAGGTTTTGCAAGGTATTTTTTACATCTTTTCAATCAAGCGAGCAGTAATACACATGATTCTGTAATGGTAAAAGGTACCATTTGATATAGGACGAACAGCTTCATTTCCTTGCTAAAGATCCCTTTACTAGGCTCACCAAACAGAAGAGAAAATGTGTTTTTTTACAAGCCAATTTCCACTCTAAAGCAAGAGGTGACAGCTGTCTTCTCTTAGTGCCCAAGCCCCTTCAAAAACACTGTAGAAGAGCATTCAGCAGCAGTTACAGCTCTCCATTTAAGCAAATGGATGTATCAGGAACCACCCCAGCTCTGACCCAGCTCCCAGGAGGAAGATTCCATACTAAGTGTTTCCTGGCTCAGTTAGAAGATTTCAAATCAGTGCCTATTTGAGCTTTCTTTCGATCTGAGCTGTGTCTCGGAGAGCCTAGCAAGGTATTGGCTGCTGCCATGTGAGACCTCAAGGCATGCATCCAGTTTCAACACAGACAGGAACAGGCTAGCTCCATTAACAGGGCTCCTTTTGAGAGAAAAACTTGAAATTTTCAGGGAAGGGATGCACCCTGATGACAGGGAGCAGTTTTTACCATGTTTCTTATCTCTTGTGGAAGTATAGGAATGCAGTGAGAATGCTGCTAGAAGTCCCTGATGTTTTGAGATTAATCTGTTAATTTGTTTGGGAGGCAAAAGGAAGATTTTCTGTGTATAGCATTTTATGGGCTGCCTTATGACTCTTTTGGACTGCCCTGACTCAGTCTGCCTGCCTCTCTGGTCCTGATGACTCTCTTTGGCTATGAAATATGTAGAGGGAACAAATTCCATCCTTGAGGTGTACTAGACTGGGGCTATGTCCAAGCTAGCCCATTAAATATGCCCAGAAACATCCTTGGGTGTTGAAGTCAGCTGGCACAGAGCAGCTTGTGTCTACCCCGGTAAATCTTTTATGCAGAGTGGCTGCACAAAGTATCCTTCCGGGGAAAAGCCCTTAGGGTCCCAGCCAGGATCTGCTGAGGGGAATATTGGGTGGCACAGGCCAAAGTCATGCCAGGGAATGTGCTCATGGTTTGCTATAATGGGTGGTCACATTACACTGCTTGGGAATGTTCCAGATCCTGATAGACTTTACTGGTATGGATTCAGTCTGAACGTTTAAACCTCTGCTGAGTTATTGTGGAAGATAAGATCAGTTACACGGTGTCCGGTTACTTTGCAAGAATGGTTTTGAAGCACAAGAGGGCAATCTTGAGTTGTTGGAAGTGTCTATAATAGCGGGCCTGTGTTTTCCCTGGGATATTATTTCTTCCCCGAGTTTCCTTCTGTTTGATCACAAGCATTTCACTCAGATGTTATGGTGCCCTGTGATATTAAAGACTTGATATAAATATTCAAAGTCTAACTCTGTAGTTTTAATGCAAGGACTTCCCCAATTTTCTGTTTTTCTGTATCAATTTGCTAATGAGCCATATACCCTGCGATACTTAAGTTTTATTTTTAGTTAGTAGAAGAAGTAGAAGATGAAGAAGCAACCAGATTCATTCATATGGAAAAATTTCTTCCAGTGATGACAAAAGTACTACTTGACAGAAGGTAATGGAAAGTGAATTTTATGTATCTGTAGTTTATTCCATATTGACAGGGTTGATTCTGAATAAATATATCTGCAGAAATTTTATATAACTGGAAGAAGTACAGATTTTATTTGTCATTTAAGATCAGTTTACATTAGCTAGATACTTTGTCTACATAAAATTGTGTTTTACTGACGATATAAATAATACCAGTTTATAATCATGAATTGTGATAACATATAGCTTTTGTGTTTTTAATGGGAATCAGAATTAACTTGCTATTCAACATGTTTTGTGTATCTCTAAAATGTTTCGTATGCAAATTAAGGTTTTAACTATTACTTTCTCTGAACATATGGGTCACAGTTACTGAGAAGCACAGTCTGTTACAGTGTATTTTAAATAAGTTGTGTAAACCAGCTTCATATTCATGTCTCAAAGTGACAGCCAGGTACAGCTGAATGTATACAACTAGCACTCTAAAAGACTGCTGATCTAAAAGTCTCAAACAAAACCACTGTTCATTATACTAAGGTGCATGGAAGTCTTTGCATGTACACAGGAACTTGTGCTATTTTGATATTTGCACTAAAGCAAGATTACTTACAGCAAGATTAATTTCCTTTTAAAGATGGTAGTCAAGGCTTCTGAAAAACTCTGTCTTGTCCAATACCGAGAAGTTATTTTGCACACAGAGAGCCTTTGGTAGGAGGGTGTTCTAGACATGAAATATCCGCGGCTCCACACTGATGTTCAGCCTTTCACACAGTGATGCCTTGCTGCTCTGGGCTCTCTTCTCCTCCTCCACAACCTCTCCACAAAAACATACACACACAAAAAAAAACACAAAACCCTACATGCTTTCCCCAGACTAGTTCAGGCTTGTCAAGACCCACTTTATCATTTGGGGCACTCTGTCCATGGTTCACTTATCCAAGGGTACATGAGATTTGGATCATAAAAACCAAGACTACTTCTTAGAACATTTGATTTTTAGATAGTAAAAGACTGAGGCGGGTCTGGACAAAGCAGTCAAGCACTTAGAATCTCCCTGGATTCAGCTCCTTCTGTTTAGTATTCTGGGGGGTTGGTGAGAGTCTGTTGGGATACGGAAGCTCTCCTTTGCTACACAGAGCTTCTTTTCCATCTCTGAAATCAAGCACGCATATGCATGCACACATGTGCCCAGTTCTCCCATCTCTCTGAAATTGTTAGTGACAGACCTTTTCTTTTAAAGCTACCAGCCTGCTTTGCTCATCATCAACTCATTAGACCGCCCAAGTCCCACAGGTGTTGCCTAGCTACCAGTGTACCTGGACAAAACTTTGTTTTCTTGGTTTGGCCATCTTCTGTGCAGTGCATTGGCTGTGTGAGTGATTCAGCTATTACTGACTCCTGCTAACCCACTCAGCCAGCCCAGACATGCAGAAGCCATTCATCTGGCTCCTCAGCACAAGGGAAGTTAAACAGTAGTACAACAAAAGACAAAAGAGTTAAATACATGGACAGTTCCAAAAAGTCAGGCTCCAATTAAATGTTTGATAGAAAAACTTAATAAGTTGTCACAGAAAGGAAGTTTTCCTTTTCCTCATGGTTTGTTCTTTCAGAACACTGGCAAACAGTAACTTAACTTTTCTGATTCAATGGTTTCAGCTACTGGCCTATTCGAGAAGATGTTCTTCTACATGCATTTGAGGTCTGTAACTAAATATTCAAGTACCTAATTGTTTGGAAGAAGTTGCTGCTTCTTGATACAATATGGTTAAAACAACAAGTTTTATTCTTTTTCTTTAAAGGCTTTGGATGAGAATAAATGTGGATATATTACTAAAGAGGACCTGGTCAAATATTTGACTGAAGAAGGTAACATGACTTCTGTAATATCAGTATTTAAGTAAAAAGCATTACAATTATATATGGCACCTTGAGGTCCTTAGTCTGTGTGCCAAAACCTGCGGTTTTTGTCTTCAAACAATACTGTTAATGTGATGAGTGGCTGCAGACTAGGACATTTCACTGGTGAATAATGCAGGGAAAAACATTTATCTGCCTGCTTACAGACATTATAAGATAGATATGATGATGATGATTAATTCAATCATACCTGGATATGTTATGATTCCGTGCACATCTCTGTGCTTACTAAGGATGCGACTCTTTTTCTGTCCTCCTGTAAAATTGTAGCTTAGATTTCCAGATGTTTCAGGTAGTTTCAGTGCTCATTCATTCCTCCATTATCTTGATCTTAATTCTAGAGCCGTACACAAACCAAGAGATTCAAGGGTAAGATTTAAGTTGTACATCCTGTAATCCTCAATATCCCTTGAAGAGCCTGCTTTTCTTGCATGGCTGACTCATGCATGCCTGCCTCAAGTACAAAACCTCAGATGGTAACCTAGTTCTCAGAGAGGGATGATGGGGGCCAGAAGCTTCTACGAGAGAAAAACCAGAAGTCTTTCATGATGTAAATACAAGTGCAAGGATAGCCAAATGACAGATAATAATAATATACACATTAGGAAAATTCCTTCTGACAAAAATGGTTGTTTCGAAATCCCTGTGGCAGAGAGGAATAGGGTGTTCTGGAGTCTGTGAACTAGAAGATCAGAAGATCCAGATCCTTTGCCTCCTTTCCCTTAGACTGGCTCACTCGGTGTGCAGGACTTACACTGGCAAAAGTGAAGGAATCAGATCCTTAGTTTTCCTCCTTTTCTTCTCTGTGTGAGAACCAAAAGGAGATTCTTTCAAGGGAAAAGCAGTATAATTTGCCAATCCTGGAAAGAATACTTACCAAAACAAAGTGTTATTCTCTGTTGTCTTTCAGGTGAGCCCTTTACTGAGGAAGAAATGGAGGAAATGCTCTCCATTGCTCTAGATCCAGAAACAGATACTCTTCACTACAGAGACTACCTTTCAAAGTTGGTAGTAGATGAAACTAAGATCTTCCCCTTTCATGTTTGAGATGCCTTTTGGTAGCAAGAGTGAGCTTGGCACATAGTTGAAATATGTATTTTAAAGTATAACAAATCTCAGCTTGTGACTTGCTGCTTATAATTAAAATAAAATCTGTGAAGTTATATTTCCTTGGGTTCTTTGTGTGTATATATATATATAAAAATATATTCACACCTGGAAAAAGAGCTCTTGACAGAAATACTGTGTAAGGTCTGGAAAAGAAATCATGGAATTTGGTTGGAAAATAACAGGACAAATAATGTTAATGGAGTCAAGAAATTACTTTACAATTGCTTTTGAAAAACTAATGGAAAATGAGACCCCTGGAAACAGGTAACAAGTGGGTGAGTATCTTAAGATGACTAATACTAGTAAGATAAAGCTTTTATATTTAAATGTAATCCTTGTTTGTGTTTAGCTAGTCAGGCACCAGATAGGGTACACCTTTTGAAATAATATAATAGATCAAATAAGCTGTCTATTTCTAGTGGTTTTCAAATATTTTTGTTTTGTTTACCATAAGCAATTGAACTGGACCAGTTAGTTCCATTTTATATTACTAACCTACTGACATATGCTTCCATATTTTTTCCTTCCATTTTAAACACACGGGTAAGACTCCAACCATTGCCATAGTCAAGTTTACAGACAAAGTAATCCTTGAGAACACTTCTGTTACTATAGGCAATAAACAGTTCCCCTTTCATAACCAGTTTGAAAGTCAGTAATTTCAAGTTTTCAGAACTTAGGATCACAGGACAGGAATTTGATTTTCATAAACTGATGAAGCACTGTTTTTTGAAAGATGTTACTGTAGAATAGGTGTCTCAGCTTTCCTTGTTAGCAGACCACAACAGACCTCACAGTTCTTCTCATTTCTAGTTTAATAATTTTCTTGGCTGTTACTGTACTGCTCATCCTTAACTTGAGTTCAAGTTCCTTCCCCTCGAGTTCTTACCTTGTACATCATCTTCTAACAAGTGGCCAGCAGTTGCCCTCAATTGATGAGGTCTCAGTTTGTAGAAGATTCGGTGGTCTGGTCCTCAAGGACACCATCTTGCACTTTGTACTCCACACCTTCCACCCCATTTGTTTTTCTGCTCTCTTTCAAGTTTGCTTTCCTCCTGTACTGTGTCCTACCACCCCTCTGTCTTAACTGCATATCCCAGCTCTGTGTCATCCACAGACCCACAGATGATGAAATCTGGGGAAGACTGACACACAGAGGCACTGAGTGCCTTACCCCTGTCATACCCTTCTAGTGGCAGAGCTGAGAACAGAGACAGGACTCCTCCTCATGTCAGGAGGACATGCTTTACCCGTTTGTTTCCCTTGAGCTGGAAGCTCAGACAAGCTGTTTTCATGTACAGCTGCAAGGGAGCTGCTGTGCTTCCCAAAGAAGAGATTAGCATGATCTAAATGTGGTGATGGAAGCAGTCTGAAACAGACCATTTTTTAATTCAGTTTTTGCTTCTCTAACCCAAGTTGTCTTTCACTGATATTTTCTTAAACAGCAGGGCAACGAAGAGTTAATGCAGGTAGGCAACATTTACCTAGTTCTGAGCTGGGTTTCCATCTGGGAAACACTGTTGCACTGGTCCAAAGACTCTGCAATGCACTCTGATTAACACATTTACTGTGTGTTTCACTTCATTGTCAGAAAGAATGAGAAACAAAGGCAGTCATTGGTGTTATACTGGTTGAAGATACAAGTTTTTGAAGATTAAAGCAAGAGCAATGAAGACCCGTTAAGAAAAACATTTATTAGGCTTATTCAGGCTCTCTTAGAAAGCTGAAATTATTTTCCCTAGATGAATTCTTCTTCCATTTGATATACAGTGTGTTATACTGGATTTCTGACCCAGCTAGTGGGAGTACAAGTTTCATTCGTATTCTGCAGTCTTTGAGTCCTTGTCAGCCTCATCTGTGATGTCAAGCAGGAAGATGCTAATTTTGGGATGTCATCTCCTAGCTCCCAGTGCTCCACAGAGATCACAATTCGTTTCTAGTGGTGCTGCCCCATAGGGCACCTCAGCTGATGCTGTGTCAAATCAGGATGTCCATCTACAACACAGTTACAATTTGTAGTGCAGATAGGTTCTTAACATACATCCTTTTATGATATATATATTTTTTTAATCTACAGTCCTCAAATGCAAGGGAAGAGGGTATTCTGGCAAATGATTGTGTCTGAATTTATCATCTAACATCTCCTCCAGCCTCATCTTCTTATATCTGTCCTCAAGAAAGATATGTGCAAACAGGACAGACAAAAGCAAGTTGCAGTCTTCCCTTTGTGCATAAGCAAGCAAATTCCATTGCCTAGAGAGTTAACAAACTCGGGGTGAAAGAATTGTCAAGAATCAATCTCAGACTCTAGGATCCTAAAAGCTGAGCACTCCCTGCCAGCTAGGATCACATAGCAGTGATCTGACCAGCTCATGAAGGGGCTGCCCCACGGGGCACTCCAGAGGCAGCTGCGCAGTGGCCACACATGACTATCCCCTTGCCTGTGTCTTTCATGACTTGCCAGCCCATGCTGTGCCCACCCATTTCCCCATGGTGGTGGTAGGCTGCATAAGGGGACTCTTCAAAGCTCCCTGGGATGGGTTGTCTGAGTGCCCTGCATCTCTGTGCTCCCTGGGGATGAGCAGGGACCCATACGCTAGGGGAAAGTAGAGGAGACTTAGGGAACCATTTTGCTGTAGCTAAAACCCTCTTTGTTTCCATATTTGAAGGGAAAAATATGTTACTTTATCCTCTTCTTTGAGGTGGACAAATTGAACTGCTGAGTGGTCTTGAGCTATCTCTTGCTACATGCCTCTCCTTGCTGGCTGTTTTGCCTCTTCCCTCAAGATCAGGAACGAAGATAAGGAATTGGATCACAAGGAGAAGTCTAGGGAGGAACCAGCCTAGCACCTGGACTAAATCCACACAGGGAAGTAGAGCCAAGGCTTTGAAGAAACTGGGGAAGTCAGAGGGTTTTTGACCTTGTTGAAGGAGGGAGAGGGAAGGGAACTCATTATCCACATGTAAAGAAGAAAACAAAATTAAAAGCAAAAGAAGAAATCAAAGAAGCAAACACTGGAAACCATCTACAAGTACAACTGAATCAGCAGACTGTTTACGTCACTGCTGTGAGTTGTAGGCTGGACAAGACTTTACTTGTTTAAAACTTCAAGTAGGTTCAGCTGTGTCAGGGCTGGTATACAGTGGATAGTGGAGACCTTCTCCTCCATCTTACTGATAGTGGGGAGAAATTCATCCAGCTGCTAAACTTGCACTTGGGAGTCCCATTGCTTGTATTCCAGGTAATGCATTGCTTTTTATGTTTCCTTCATCAGCTTTGAAGTTGCTTCTTCAAAACAGTTGTCTGTCTGCTAGTGGCAGTCTCATATATATGCACACCTGAAGACTTCAGTATTTTACCACTGCATTGCGTACCAACATGGTATTTACAGTTCTTTTAGACTCTCCACTGACTGTGGAGAGAAGCAGAAGTTGCAGGACTTCCACCACCAAAACGCTAAAGGGCCAGCATGAGACCTGGGACTCCAAGAAAAGAACTGGGCTGTTCACCTGCGCATCTCCACTCATGTTATCACAGAGGTAAGAGCCTCTAAAATGTTCAGGCTCTTACCTCTATTCAGGGAATAAGAATTTGCTATATTTTCCCCTTCTTTCTGTTGTTTCAGTCTGTCTTTTCTCCTGGTTCTCTTATATGTTGTTTCATTAATCCAGTTGCATGATAGCCTGTGAGGACTGAAAATGCAAGAGAGTTTTGCTCTGCTCCACACTTCTGATGCCCTGCTGCTTGCTCTGACAGCTGCCCATACCCCATGCCCGGATCTAGACTTGTTGCCACTGAAATCAGCACTGGCAAAACACTCATCACAGGTAAGGGGGAGAAGTGGCTGGGGATGTTGGAGTTGAGCCAAGGCTGTGATAGGCATGGGAAGGTATGATTTTTTAAGTCCTGTAATACACTGTTATCACTGTGTGAAAGGGGTAGTGTAGTCTTGACAATAAGGCACGAGGTTGGCAGGTTCATTCTAGACTTTGTGAGAGGTATTGGTAAGTCACATAGTCTCTCCCTAGCTGAACTTTCCATCTAAAAAGTCAGTGTAATTATAAGGAATGGGAGACAGGGAGTATCTGTCTTGCCTACCTGGACTGTCGACTTTTTGTATTGCTAGTTCTGATGTTTGCACAGTGCCTGGTACTATAATGTTCTGATCGAAATCAGTGCCTACAGACCTCCCTGTCACATAATTAATAAAGGTCTCAGCCTTCAAGTCTTTTGTTCCAGACTGTACATTCAGCTTACAACTTCTAAACAGGTCAGTCTACTGCAAGTATGTTTGTTTTTCATTCAACGCCACTCTGTTTCATAGCGTCTCATGGCATGAGAGGTTTGACTATAAAACTAACTACTGAAACATCTGGTCTTATTGGAGATTTTTTTGGGCAGGTCAGTACTAGGCATGGGGACTATGGTGATTTAAAAGCTCAATAAAGATGTAGGTTGAAACAAAGCAGATTCTCCCATTCAACCTATTTTGAATCCCTGGGGCTACTATTAGGCTTAGTGTAGTTCTGAAAGCCAAGAAAGTGTTACTCATTATGCTCAAAAGATTGATCACAGTATTTATGTCCTGAGGCTCAAATCCTGAAGTCCTTATTCAGACAGAACTCCCATTGACTTCAAAGGGAGTTCTGTCTGCAGAAGAGCTTCAGAAATAGTGATGCACTGGCTCACAAGGCACTGTAAAAAACTGTTAGTGTTTTTAATGAAGCCTCATCTGTGGAGGATCTAACAGAGATATGCAACCAGCAAGCAACTTGTGTCATTGAAATGCCCAAAACTGTAAAACTATGGCCACAAGGAGTTAATTGTTATCTATAGCAATACAAGCAAGAGTCAGTGAGAGTCAGCAGTCAGAACTTCTACATATTGTTCAGAGCACAAAAAGTAAAATCTAGGGATGCTACTGCATGGAAATGTAAAGTCACCTCTTCCTGCTGTTACCCTGGAAGCGCTGCAGCCTTAAAAACACACGCATGTTGCGTCTGTGATTTCATATGCTATACCTATTCCTTTTATCCTGGACTCTTATTTCTTTTAGAAGCCTTTTAG